AGAGCTTCCACAATTATCTCCGTTACGAAACCACTTTCTCAGTCCACAAAGAACTGGGAAACAGCATCGTACTTGACATACAAAGAGCCGTTATATAGAGTATACTGTGACAAAGGAACGTGCTGGAAACTATAGTTGTTCTTGGCTGAAACTACGTAGCTACATCCACTCTATTGAAAATGTTCAAGTGGATTGATTAAGAGATAAGACCATTTTCATCGACTGTTGTTAGAAATCTATTCTGGCCTATCCGAAGTATTACCGCGTCGATAATAATGTTAACGAAAACAAGACAAAACCAGCGGTAGTATAAATGAAGAGCTAATCACTGGAGTTTGCAAGCAAAAATTCGATTTTTTGATGAAACAGCTTGACGAGAGGTATACAAGGCTCGTTCCAGCAAGAAAACTTTCACCTCAACCGTTGCGGAAATTTCTTCAACAATTTGTCATCCGGTAACTAACCGAGAGAACACTGAATGGCAGTAAAAATTAAACAACATACTACTTTACGGTTTGGAAGGCTCCGCTAGGGAAGAAAACCCTAAAAAAAGGTACTGAAACTGTTTTAGTCGAATCTAAAAACAAAAACTATCTCCAGTGAAATCGAGAGGTGCTTCAGGTTAGGTGGGTTTAAAGATGATGCATATCGCCCATTCTTATCAGTTTTCTGTCTCATAAGACTAAAGCACCCGAATTTTCCAAAAAGCGACTACTGAAAATCTCTACGTTTACCCTACGTGAAGATTTAATTCCGGCATCTGTAGATTTACTTTGTGCAGCATCCAGGAAATGTGGAGATAGACTCGTTTGGAGCCTTGAAAATATATGCTTTGGTGAACAATCAGAAGAAAATTATTACGACGATGGATGTGTGTTGAGTGAGTGAGTGCATCCTTTGACCATCTGGGTATCTACAATCCATATCATGTTTTGCTTTCTCATGTCTATCACAAAAAAGAATAGGTTTGTTCTAATAAATAGATGAATGTATACTATGTCTTTATTGATAAATATGTTCCCAAAGTTGTTCTTTAAATTCTGTAGAGTTCTGGAAATAACTTGTTCTCTTATTTTTCTATAACTTTCTTAGGGAAGCGTTACTGTTTATTTTTGTATTATTTTATGGGTGTCATTATGTTGCCATCTGGAACCGATGAGGCTGTTTAGCTCCTGCTACATTAATGTTAGGTCGCTTATTTTACATTTTCCGAATTCAGAAATTTCATAATGCAAGAAG